AGCAGGAATTTTAAGTCACCAGGTCCAGGACTCAAGCCATGGCCAACTATGTGGGAGTCCAGCAACCTAACCATTATGCCATCTGCTGGTCCCCACTGAGTATTTTATATTTCAAGCTGAGCTGTTTCAAATCAAAGAGGAAATAATTTTCTGCCTCCAATCTTGCTACTTTACTCTAATGCCCTTTTGTCTGTTTTTTGGCTTAAAAAAAAATTTGCTGGAGGCCACAGGTGCTTGCCAGAGAGAGAGAGAAAGCACCCTAATGAGGTGTGGTCATGCTGCAATCCTTTTTCTTGCATTTTCCAATGTGTCAGATTTTGGGGCAAACATGTGCGGTGTGTTTTTCAAGCTGCTAGGGCCAGGATTTGAGCCTCTATTGGCCATGTGGGATCCACCTCACTTAACCACTATGCTATAGGGCCACCCTGCAATTTCCTTTTCTTTTTTTCTTTTCTTTTCTCTTTTTTTTTTTTTTTTTGTAGAGGTTTTCGCTATATGGCGCGTGCGCTTGCCAGACAGAGACATAGAGACAGAAAGTGAGAAATCACCCCCCAGGGGGGATGGTCACGCTGCAATCCCTTCTCCATTCTTCTTTCGGGATCTTGGGCATGCACGCACACGCGCCCGGCGTGAGTTTCAAGCCATTGGGTCCGGGACGCAAATTGCGGTCGACTGTGTGGGAGTCCAGCGACATAGCCATTACGCTAACTGCTGGTTCCCCAATTTCCTTTTCTTGACTCTACCAAGTCAAGATTCTCACCCAGGACTCTACCAACCTTGTATGGGAATGGTGGGAGATGGAGGCTTGAAATAACAGGTTCCTTCATTTAGATTCCTTGACATCTACCATGAGATTTCTAATGCTGTCCACACTCCCTGGTCGGAGGTTCAAAGTCAGCTGTGATTCTCATGTATTAGATGATACCCCATGGATTAAATTACACTTTTGTCTCTACTCAATCTTAATTCTCTTGTGGTCCATAGTTTTAGGTTTGGCCACACAACAAGAATGACAGATTTTGGGATCTCGACTGGCCAGTCTGTGGCAGTGGTCTGGGATCAGTCATCCCCGGTGGAGGCTCTGAAAGATCTGGTGGGTAAGCTTCAAGTGTCCACAGGCAATGAAGGCCAGGTGTTCGTGGAAAACATCAACCAGCTGCTGCAGTGTGAGTACCTACTCATTCATCTTATGGGACTGGAGGGGTTTGGTGGGAGTGCCGCCCTCCTGTAGTTCCTTGAACCTGAGTCTTTGTTTTGGGCTGCACATGATGGTAGTTGGTCACCTTGTTGCTTTCCAGTTGAGATACAAGGTCTTCAGAAAGTTCACAGAAAAATGCATGTTATGAAAAACTATGCCTGGATGTCAAAAACAATTTGCACCAAAATAAACTGGCACAGGCCAGCAGGTGGTGCAGTGGTTAAAGGGGCTGGATTCCCATGTGGCTGACTGTGGTTCGAGGCCCGGACCTGGCGGCTTGCTTTATCATTTTCCCCCCTCTCTCTCTATCTCTGGTCAAATTAAAAGAAAGTAATAATAACAAATGGAATTAAATAAATAAATAATTCTTAAGGGGGAAAAAAAAGCTGATACTTTACTTCTATTTTCCATAGATGTTTTGAAATTTCTAAGGGGCATGACACTTTCCAGAGAGAGATAAATGGAGGGAGGGAGAAAGCACCCCCCAGTAGGACATAGTCACACCATAATCCCTTTTCCAGTTCTCCATCCTGTTGGGATTTGGGGCATACACTCATGGTTGACCATGTGGGATCCTACTCTCTCAACTATTAAATAGGCCATGATGCTGGCTTGCTATTCTGTATTTTCTTTAAAAAGCTTACTCTTTGGGGGCCAGCAGTGGTTAAGGCACTGGACTCTCATGTGGCCGACCACCATTAGAGTCTTAGATCTGGCAGCTTGATACTCATGCCAGGTGCATGTGTGCGCAGGCCCAAGATTCAGGAGGAGAATGGAAGAGAAGAGACTGCAGTGTGGCCGCCACCCCCCGCCCCACACACACACCAGGGGGTGATTTCTCACTTACCCTGTCTTTTTCTCTCTCTCTCTCTCTCCAGTGAGTGCACACACCCTATGGCAAAAACCTTTAAAAAAAAAAAAAAAAAAAGCTTACTCTTTATATAGCTTCCTTTTTCATTCTTTCCACTGCGTGTATAACAGTATAAGATTAATAAAATGGAGAGTAGAGAGAGCCTTATTGCTAGAAAGCAGTGATGATTTAATAGTATTTACTGAACAGGTTGGTGCTCATTGTCTGGGGTAAGGCCTGTAGCCTTTGTAGGGGCTTGAGGGGACTTGCTGGCAGATTGCTTCTGGGGCTCAAGTGGTTGCTGATTAGCATCTTCCTCCTTTTCAGCTGCTCACAAAGAGTCCAGCTTTGACGTTATTTTATCGGGTGTAATCCCGGGAAGCACCATGCTGCACAGTGCCGAGGTTTTGGCTGAGATGGCTCGGATCCTTCGGCCCGGCGGATGCCTTTTTCTGAAAGAGCCAGTAGAGACAGCTGTAGGTAAGGAATTTCACTTAAGACGATATCTTGATAGGGTTAGTTTTCAGCTGTGCTTGCTATAGCCTCCTGAGCAAGAGATCTCCTTCGGATATTAGTATTCCTATGCCTGAATCTTCTCCATGGGGATGGATTATTGTTAAAACCTGAAGCAACAGATCTGAAGAAATTATGATCTTTGGCCAGCCCACTAGGTAATAAAATAGAAGAAAACTGCGGTCTAAAAATGATTGGTGACTGGTTAAGCTGTGGTATGTCCATAACATGGAAAACCATGCAGCAGTGAAAGGGAACAAACTTGACAGGAGCATCAGGGTGGGTGGATGGATCTTAAGGGAAGTGTGCTGAGTGAAGGAAGCCTATCTCAGAAGGTCCCGTGTTGTGTGACTCCATTCATATTCTTGAAATAACACGATTGTAAGTAATGAAGATCAAGTCTGTGGTCACCAGGGGTTAGGAGTGGAGGGAAGGGCTGTGAGTGGCCATAAAGAGGAAGTGTAAACGTTCTTTGTGGTGACATAACAGTGTGTGCCCTGATTGTGGCGGTGGCTACACAGTCTGCATAAGTGATCTGATTGCACAGAACTGCACACACAAGCTCCCTTAGACGAATACGCGTTAAATTGGTGAGATTGGGAGCGGCTCTGTGGACTGTCCATGCCAGTTTTCTGGTATTCATATTGTGCGCTGTACATTTGTGAGAGGTTACTGTGGCGGGGAGGGGACAAGCTGGAGAGGCCATAATTCTCCATGAACTTTTTGTTCTTACAACTTTTTGTGAATCTACAATTATTTCAAAATAAAAAGTTTAAGAAGATTGGCCGGAAGTAAGGAAGTAATAACTGATTCGTGTGAAACTAATGGCTGTCTAAAAAATGAAAACTTTTTTTTGCTCAGTGTTGTAGCTGTCAAGAGTCATTCCACTCTAGATTGTTAGCATCTTTTGACCAGGTTTTCCATAAGAATGTACACATTCATTTCATTACATAAAACATTACATAAAAAATAAAAGTATTTTGAAATGTGGAAAAGAATTCGTTGTTTATGTGGAAATATAACCTTGTGATGTGTTTAGCAAACGTCTTTGTTGGGAATTTAAACCTCAGGCGATGAAACAGTGTCCCTGCCAGGACTAAACACAGAGAATACGTGTCTTTCTATAGACTGCAGTTTATAAGCCATTTTCACAGTCATTCAACAACCTCTGGAAGGAGTCCCCAAGAGCAGAGGGTGATAAAAAACGATAGTAATAGTTTTATAATATTCAAGAGCTAGGTAAGCACTTGAACGACCAAAAGGATTTGTCAAATCAAAATGCGATCATTAAAATATGCATACATTAAACAGAATAGATGATTATTATTGGAATGCCTGCTGACCCACATAGACTAGGGCATTTATTATTTTCCCTGCTTTGAACTGTGAAGCGATTCTGGGGTTTTTCTCTTGGCAGTTGACAACAGCAGAGTGAAGACAGCATCTAAACTGTGTTCTGCCCTGACTCTTTCTGGCCTTGTGGAAGTGAAAGAGGTATGTTTGTAGACAACCTCATCGACTAGGAATTTAAGCCTTGGGTGACCAAACCCAGAGTGTCGTCATAGTCCGAACAATCAGAGGGGAGAAGCAGCCCTGCAGGTGAGGTGATCAGTGTCGCTGAGAACTAGGAAACCAGGTGAAAGTGCTTCACGTGTGAGGTGTATGATGTCCTGAAGGACAAAGCTGGAGGTCAGTCTCCTTTGAAGACATTTAGCTCAGAGCCACATAGGTGGGGGCTAGTTCTGGTCTCCCCTGTGTGGGTTTAATGGGAGTGACAGCTGAGGTGGGAGAGCAGTAGCCCTGCTGCTTCAGACACTGTTGCTCCGTTGACACGCATCCTGAGCCCAGCTGAACTGGTGCCACTTGGGTCAGCCTCTCTGTTGGTGGGGGGCTGGAGCAGCTTCGAGGGGAGGTGGTGGCAGTGGTGGTCAGAATTTCTGACAATTCAGTGGAGTTTTTTTAAAAAAATAATTATTTTATTTAACTTTATTTATTTAAATTTGGCCAGAGAGGGACAGAGTGGCAGAGAGAGAAAGAGAGAGAGAAATGGAAAGTGAGAGAGCAAGCCACCAGGACCGGGACTCGAACCGTGGTTGGCCATGTGGGAATCCAGCACCCCCAACCACCACTTTCCAGCTCCTCAGTGGAGATATTTAAATTAAACAGACATTTGTATTTCTGCATTCCTCTCTAGAGTTAACATTTTCTTAGATGAGGAGGGGTAAACATTCCCAAAATATCTATTACACTAACTAGTTTTTTGTTATATGGTTGAGAGCCTTAGACATTTTATACTGATCTAGCCTTACTTTTTGCTTTAGTTAAGTTTCGTTTAGTTTCTGCATTTGATCCCAAAGTAAGGAACACTCGTAAAAGTTAAATTTATACTGAAAAATATAGTTAAAAAGTGAGTCCTTAAGAGCAAAAGCTTTTATATTTAGAATTATTTTATTTAACTTGTATTTTATTTATTTATTTATTTATTTATTTATTATTATTTTTAATTTGACCCGAGAGAGAGAGGGAAAGACACTAAAGTGAAGCCACCAGGCCTAGGACTTTTTTTGAGAGGTTTTTGCTATAGGGCGCATGCGCTCGCCAGACAAACAGAGAGAGACAGAGAGACAGAAAGCGAGAAATCACCCTCCAGGGGGGATGGTCACACCGCAATCCCTTCTCCTCCATTCTCCTCTCGGGATCTTGGGCACGCACGCACACGCGCCCGGCGTGAGTTTTAAGCCACCGGGTCCAGGACGCGAACCGCGGTTGACTACGTGGGAGTCCAGAGACATAGCCATTACGCTAACTGCTGGTTCCCGACCCAGGACTTGAACCATGGTTGGCCATGTGGGAGTCCAGAGCCCCTAACCAACATGCCACCTGCCGATCCCCACAAAACAGTTTTTAAATGCCAGAGGGCATGTATGAGAGAGAGGAGGCACTCAAGCATCCTCTAGCTGGGCCTGGGTCATATATCCTTTTCCCTCCATTTCTCCATCCTGTCAGGAATCAGAGTACTGGGCACATATACATGCACGCGTGTGTGTGCACACCCAGAGTGTTGCCACCTGGGTTGGGATTTGAACCACGGTCACCTATATGGGATCTAGCTTCCCTCACGTAACTATTATGTTATGGGCTGACCTTACCAAAGCATTTTTTGTATGTCTCTTCAGACCTTTTTCTCTGTCTTTATAAGCGTATATCACATCTCTTTTTTAAATGTTTTTTTTTCTTTTTTTGGAGAGGTTTTTGTTATAGGGTGCGTGCGCTCGCCAGACAGAGACAGAGAGATAGAAAGTGAGAAATCACCCCCCAGGGGGGATGGCCATGCTGCAATCCCTTCTCCTCCATTCTCCTCTCGGGATCTTGGGCACGCATGCACACACACACGCCCTGCGTGAGTTTTAAGCCACCGGGT